ACCAAGGATATTCACTTTTACATCAGAAACCACCCCCAAAGTTTGAAATTGAAGCATTATTTCGACTATTATAAAACACATAATTGTAAAATCAATACATTCATCACTTCATTCAGAATCTTAAAAGATATATAAACACATTTTTTAATAATTATTTTAAATTCAAATTTGGGCAAAATTACATATTTTGACTATAAGAAGATAATTTTTGTTGTTTTGTTATTATTTAAAAATATTATTCATGGATAATCAGAACTTATAGAGTAGGTTATTACATTTTTAAATGCAATTTTTTCAACAAAAATGGATTTAACTTTAGTACTAATGCCTATAGTGTAGTAAAATATATTACTATAACCACAATAATACCATAAAATATACTAATTTTATTTTATTATAGACCCTGATTTGCCAACTTGCAGCTCTCGTCATAGTTGTATGCCGTTTGCTTCTTATTAAAAAAAAATCAATATCTGTTTATTTACGATAAAATTATAAAAATTATAAAATGTATTTATAAACATTTTGGCTCTTAATATCATTGTATTTAACCATGTGGCTCATGGAGGTATTCATGTTGGCCAGCCCTGTTATAGACTTGACAGACTATCAGACTGTCTCCGCTCAGATATGTTTTTCATTATTAATTTTAAATCACTGAATTCAAATTTAATACATCCATTACAGAGATTAGATACCTAATGTACAGCAAAACATTATCCACTTTAGTTCTTTTAGTATAACTTTAAAATGTTTAACTGTACCTACTTAAAATGTTCTCTAAATTTTTATTGTTACATCAWATTATATTCATGATGAAAATTTCAAAGTATTTTAACTGAAAGCTATAGCATGAGAATTTTTGATATTTTTTTTATTAATTAAAATATTAAATTMATAATTCATAATTTTTTTCTAAACATAAATATTTAAATTTGTTAGTATTTATTTGTTTAATTTTAATATTTATATGATTGTATTATTTTAGAAGATAGTGAACCAAATATTGATGGCAATATTAATAAAAATTCTACATGTATTCTTAAATCAGCTGATAGCTCAAAAAATAAAAGAAAAATAAACTGTCTATCTTCAGCTACAAGCATTAAAAGTAGTTATTATTTTACATTAATATCTAAACATATTGTAAGAACTACTAATTTTTTATTGTATTAACCATCATAGATATTGCCACAGAATTCAAATWTTGTGAAAAGAAGTTAATAAGTCCAAAAAAGGATCAATATTCCAAAATAAATCTTATCAAAAATGAAGAAGGTATGTATTTTAAATTTTTCATTGAAATAGTTTTATGTCAGTGGATATGAATTTAAGTTTTGTTTATGTTTAAACTCATATTATTGAAGAAAAAAAATTGAAATTTTAAATTACTTTGTAATGGGGAGGGGCGTAATTCATAATTTTCAGAAAACTTTTGAAATTATAACACAGTGGTATACTAAACTTTTTTGAAAGGGGATATGAATATTTGGCTATTCTCAGACCTCATTTATTGCTTTATATGATAAAAATAAGCCAAAGGGGTGATATAAKATATAACACCCCCCCTCCTTCGTGTGATCATACCTTTGTTTTTATTTTATTTTGTAATTGTAATTTTGATTTTAACAGTATAATATTTTAGAAATACAGGTTTGTGAAGGAGCACAGTTCCTTGTGTCCCTTCGATAATACATTTGTATTATAATAAATTTATTTTCAAATGTATTATTCATATTGCTATAACATAATAAATTTCTAATCTTGATGAAATTAGCTGGTGAATTAAAAGATACAGTATTTTTTTTCATTTTGATTTGTTTTTACAAATTGATTTTATATTTGATTACATTTAAAATCCATTTTAAGTTGAAAAACTATTTCGAGTGAAACTTTCTAAAGTGTTTTCAAATTGTACGACTTACAAATTAAAAACACAAATATTCATGTAAAAATAATACCAACTTTTCTTAGTACTTAACATCTAACAGAATTATATTTCTCTGTGAATCTAATATCTCATTTTATTCTTTTGTTCCAGTGTCAAACCCTATTTTACCAAAAAAAAAATGTGTCATATCCAATAGCAATTTTGAGATTGCACATTTATTAGAAGAAAAAAAAAACCATTTAGATGATTGTATGTCTTTTGAAATGTGTAATGAACTTTATAAAATTAAATCATCACATAAAAGCATTGTTAATAAAAATGAATCATTACCAAAGTATATCCAAGATATATTGAAAGAAATGTATGTTGATGAATTGTTTGTATCTACATGTCAACATATGGTAGACTTATATGGTAAGTATTTTTCCATACAATATTTTTATCAAATTAAAGTTTACCCTTATTGCACACTGTCTACTTCTTATAACGTACAATGTCATATATTCTCATAAAAATATATCTATATAATGTAATAACATTGTTCATTAGCATAATTACTATAAAAATTGCATGTCATTGTTCATGATTATTGTTATTTAAATTAAATTTAAATTATCAAAATAAACCTTACTTTATAATCACAAAAAAAAAAATTATACTTGATGCAATCGCATATTGTTGGACCCTTAGTGTGTTAGCCACACCCGAGACACTTTTACATTGCAACAGCCGAACCCATGAATCAAATTTACGACTGTCTCCCAATATGCGATTGAATTGAATATTACCGCTGAAAATGCGGTCTACCAGAATAGACGTGGTTATTATACTAAATTGTAGTATTTCAGAGACCAGCACGGATAGGCATGTGTGGTATAAATAAAAATATTAA